GCTAAGTGTTGGAAATAGTTTACCTTTGTTTGTTCGATTTGCGTTTGTCTGATTCAGAGTTCTAATCCCGTCCCATTTTCTGTTTCACAGTTTTGACGGCGACGATTCAAATATCTTGGAGGCGGTGGCTCAAAGCTCTCAGCGGAGAATGATTGAATGTGATGGCGGCACGGTGGAACAGATCTAGGGTTTCAGACTTCGAAACCTAGATCTCAACAAGCCAACACTTCTTCTACTCCTTCGGCTCTCTTTTCCTTCTGCTTTTAATTTTTCAGTTCGCTTCAAAAAATTTCTCCCTCTTTCTGTATTAGGTTTAGGTATTTATAGTTTTTTTTATTTAGATGATTTGGGAAATAAAAATTGTAATTGTCGTTACTTTTTAGATTTGAAGGAATTAAGGATTTTGCAGATTTGATTTTGTATTAGGTTAGTACAGATTTGTATAAATTGGATTCTTTTACGAAAAATTCTTGATTTTGTATTGATTTGTTATATGAATTTGATTAGATTTAACTCAATTCAGTATTGTATGATTTTGTTACGTTCTGGATAAATTAATGCAAAGGATTTTATTTGAACAATATCAGTTCATGCGTTATTTTTTCTTTAATTCGTATAGTAGTTGTTTCTAACCTAACAGCTGTTTTGGTTGATAAGAGTTTCTTGTTGTTTGGGGCTTGCAAGTTTGGGGCTTGGACTTTGGACCGTACAACAAAGTTTTCAATGTTTTTTCTTTTTAATTAACTAATAAAACAAGACAAATTAAGTTTCAATATATATGTTTTAATCATAATCAATATTAGTATAATAGTAATTAAATAAAATAATAATAATTGAAACAAAACTTTTTTTCCAAAACGAAGACAAAAGCTAATCAGGCCATGTTGTTTCAATTGGCCTTTAAAAAAATAACTTGCATATGGGCTTCTTTGCAAAAACATACACCATTCATCTTCTCAGGCAGCCAATCGTTCTAGTGGGCCAAACCATTTAACCAAAAATCCCAACACAACTCCCTTTTTAAATGGGCCTTCCAAAATGATATGAGCTATTATACCTGATGAATTTAAACAAAAATCATCCCCATATTTTTTTAATGGACTTCTTAAAATACCTTAATGGGTCATACGAAAATAACCTGATGGGCCAAAAGATTCAAACAGGTCTTTTTGATATTTAGAAAGCCCGCCAACTTAAAACACAAACCTCTATATAACAATGCACCTCCCCTTTTAACTTGAAATGGACTTTTATTAAAGCCTAATGGGCCATCAGATATTGATGGTCCTTTTTGGATCAATACAACCCTCTTTGATTTTAACCCCCCATAGAATATTACAAAAATATATACACTTTGATCAAAAGAAAAGTAACATAATGTGATTATTTGATGGGTCAAATTTGGGGTATGGCAGACACTAAGTTGTAAAACTTTGGTGAACACACCCTTAGATTAGAACAAAAAGAGTCGATCCCGTGTGTAGCGATAAAAATTTGAAACTAAGCCATCAATTGACTTATCTTGCAAAGTGAAAATCGCCATTGCACTTTATTTTATCCAAAGAAAAGGGAAAAGAGAGAATAAAACCCAAATGAGAAAGAGATCAAGTTAAGGTGGTTGGTTATGCAAAGGGAAGGTAATTAGCACCCTAAACATCTATGGTACTCCACAGGAAATTCTTTGAAAATCTGTGTATTTTGCTAAAAAAAATTTACAAAATAGATGGTGGAGATGGAAAAAGAAGTGGTTTTTACAATTTTTGCACCCGATGCGGTTGCATACCTTTTGTGCCTACTTACCCCCTTCGTTCAATAGCGGATCAGGGCACTCGTAGTTCTTCTCAAATTTTTTGAAAGTTTTGCGTGTTGGTTAATTTTAAGAGAAGTGACATCTCATCATATCCGAGTGGAAAACATATTTACTATCCACAATTATAAGAAAAGAGCATTTGCATCATCTCAACGTATAGGATATAACTTGGATTTAAAATCAACAATACATCACTCAACACTCAAGTGGAAAATGGCTCACTTCACTATATATTGTCGAAGTATAGTAGTTTGCATTACTACAAGAATCAACAAGAGTCTAATATTTGAAAAAATGTTTTAAAGTAAAAGGCCAGAGTGGCAAAATGGTTTAATTGAAGTTAATGACTTTTAGTCTTTCAAAAAGATGTCAAAGTATGATTAAATTGATTAAAGATTTAATTAAGAAAAAGGTTTTGAAAATGCATGGACCTGAGTCCACGTTTATTATGAAAGTAGTTCAAGTTTAAAAAGAATAAGAGTTTTGAAAAGTAAGGAGATGATTTTGAAATTAAAGAAAATGAGAGGAGATGAAGGGACTATCTTATGTACACAAAGTAAAATCAAGATAAAGAAAGGTCTAACCAATAAGAAGTCAACACTTGACATAAAGAAGTCAATGTAGAATTCTCATCCTTTGGATTAAAACCAAGCAAGCATAATATAAAACCTCAAATGAATACCAATCCTCAGATGAATACCAAGCCTCAGATGAATTAAGAATCAAACAATATCTTCATTGACAAAAAATGGCCAAAGTAACAATTGTATACAAAGGAATTCCTAATCACAATGCCTTGGAGTAAGTCCCAAAGACTTCGAACAAAACATAGAAACCATAATAACCTGCACACAGAGAAAATTCAAACCAATGCCTTGGAGTAAACCCTAAGGACTTCAGACAGAATAACAACAAGGTACCAAGGTCTCCAAGTATCAAGGCCTCTAATCCTAAGTCCAAGAGATCCACAACTCCAAAATGCCAAGGATAGTAACCAATAGTCTAAGAAGAATCTTTCATTTAATATTCTAGTTGGGTTATTAATGTTTTAAGCACGAGATAAAGGACTAAGTGGACAAAGGGAAAATGCGGAATCATAAATAAGTTGCACGAAATGTAAATGACATAAAGTAAAAGCGGTAAATAAAGTGCGAAAATTAAATTTGCATAAAGTAAAAGTTAATGTTAGATTTAATTTTCGTTACAAAACAAATGTAGTGCTATGTTAAGCAATCGTAAGTGGACTTATGTAAAAGTCGCACCTATTTTAAGGCAGGTCAATAGCAATGTATGTACCATACATGTTTGAGATATGATATAAACCATACTCCTAAAACATATAACACAAATAAAAACAAAGGTGATTAAGACCTAGATCATGGAAGATACATCATGTCAAACTTTCACCAATGCCAAGTACCTTGAATGATCAATGGATCATATAGAGGTAGGTTGGAAATATTGAAAGTTTATCAGCTATCCATAAGCTTAGATGAACTTAAAGTTCAAATACCTTATCCAAATTGATCAAAAAGAAAAATAAAAGAAAGAGGGATGAAAAAGAGATGAATTCCATAATAAATGATAACGTTAACCTCCATTTTCCAAAACTGCTTTCTCTCTTCATTATACATCATCATCATTCTTTTTAATATCAAAACAATCATCATCTCTCTCTCATTTTTAAAATAAGACACAAAAAAAGAATGGGCAAGAAAGAACAGGCGGTGGTCGGCGGATGAGCTCGCGGCGGCGCCGCCGTGCGAGTGAGTTTTTAGAATTGTTTTAACAGCCTCCCTCGGTTTTATCCAGTGATTCCGAAAATTATGTTTTTCAAAAAGACTCATCAAAAGATCTAGATCTATCGAGAAGTTTTCAAAAGTTTTTGTTCAAAAACAACAATAGTCAGAGAAACGCAAAATTAATGGTGCATTCGGTCAATTAGAAGAATAAGCAACCTTCCACGGTAGAAACGGAGAAGAACGGTGGTGCTTGAGATGGTTCAGATGGTGATTCCCGCGTGGTGGGGAAAAGATTCCGACGGCGGACGAAGCTCAGGGGAGGTTCCGGCGACAGTTCAGGTGAATGGTTCTTGGATTTTCGTTTTTTTTCTGAGTTGTGATTTTGTCGGTGTGTGTGAAAGTCCTCCAATCAGTCTGAAATCAATGCTTAAATAGTGCTCTTATATTAGGAATTTTGTGAACAAAGTTTGGTTGTGAGTCATTTCTCTGTTGGGTTGAAAAATCAGAAATACAATGGGCTCAAAATTCTGAAATGGAGTGTTGAGCTGAAGTCCAAAAATTGCCTACAAGCAGCCCATGAATTTCCTCTATCCAAGTCAAATAATCACCACTTTTTTGTGTGTGTGTTTTTGTGTTGTTTTGATTGCTAAATGGATTCTAAATGGGCCTTGTGAAATCTGAACATTTTAATGTATATGTTAGAAATATTAGAATGAACTTGGGTTATGTTGATTTTAATGGAATATAAATTTGATAATTATTGAATGGTTTTTCTTGTGCAAATCTATGGGCTTAACTTGAGTGGTGACTTTGTTGAAAGAATTAGAACCAATTTTGTTACTTTTGTTGAATCTTTGGAATAAACAAGTCATTGAATCATGGGCCTTGTTGAGTTGCTATGTTAACACACCCTTCCATTTTATTTTGTGTCCAATTGCCTTGATTGTGATTTGGGTTAACCATGATTGATATCGTCTTTGTGCTAGGAGCAACCAAAATGATGGAGGACAAAGGAAATCGTGGTCGAGAAGGCTTGGCATGGAAAACCACTTTGGGAACACAAGGGAACTTGAAGATGGGGAAGTTTTGAATCCATGAAGTCTTAGGAATTATGAACCTTGTATCTTGAGTAACTTGTATTGGATTGATGTTGAAAATATGAATGTAAGAACTTGAATGGTTGTTTGTCTAATTGATTGAACATTTTGAAACTTAGGTAAAAAGAGTTGAGTTATCCTCTTGTAATTCGAATTGAACCCATTTGTAAGCTTGTGACTTGAGGAATATGAACTATTAAAAGTGTTTGATGATGAATCTTGGATGAAATGACTTTGAATTAGGATTGAGAATGTCTAGAATTGATGGATGAAATAGGTACTTGAAACTTGAACAACTTTTATTGGTGAAGTTAGGAACTTGCCTTAATACTTGAAAACTTTGAATGTTATTGAACTTTTGATAACTTTGAATGAGATTTGCAAGTATGGCATGGCATGTCTTGAAACCATAAGAAAATTGAGAATTTTTTTTATTAATAATCATGTATTAAAAAAAAATTCGCAAATAACCGCGTTTCGGAAAAAATTACGCAAATAACCATGTTTCAGATGACTCCCCAAAGGAGGAGCCATCTGAATTGGCGTATGCACCCAATTTTTAAGGGGAGGCGCCATCTCACTTGGCGTCTATGTGCTTAGAGTGTGCCCTAAGCCAAGTGAGATGGCGCCTAGGTGTTATTTTAGGGCAAAATGTGATTTTTTTTGTCCGGTGCGTTGCGTGTTGGATACAGGATCAACAAAATGGACTTTTTATTATAAAAAAATAATTACATCCAACTGTATTACATTAAAATAACAGATTAAAAAAAACAGATAAAAAAACGGATAAAAAATACAGGAAAAAAAAACAGATAAATCAGTGATCCCCCGGAACCCAGTAATGTCCCCCGGTTCCGCATCCCCGTCCTCGCCTTTCTCGTGCTGGGTGTCGTCGCGTTTCCTGCTGCGGCAAGGTCGATGGCCCAGCGAAGTCAATGCGGTCCAGATCCATAAAATCAGTCAGATCTCCATATCTAGAAGATCCGCTTTGGTACAGTCGGTTACCCATACCCTCAAAGTTTGGTCGTGTTGGCGGTGGGTGGGGTTCCATAGTGGGTCGGTAGCATTGGTCGTCTGAGTACGGTGGGTAGAAAGGAAATGGATCTTGGGGTGTTTGGTATTGAGGATGTTGGGTGGTTTGGTGATATTGTGGTTGATGGTAGGCTGGGTCGGTTTGTTCGTAATCTTCCGACATTCCCATATCAGGGCTAAGGCTGGATGTTGAGGGGCCCATATTGGGATATACGGAAGACTGAAATTGTGTGTGGGGTATGCGGGTGTGCTGGTATTGGGATTGGTATTGTGGTTGGGTGTGAGGCATATTGGGGTATTGGTAGTGTGGTGGTGATTGTGGTTGGTTGTGTGGCATTTGAGTGTAATTGTGTTGTGGTGGGGACTGTGGTTGGGTGTTTGTGGGTCTGTTTCTTCTTGGGGGTTGGTGGGAGGTTGATGGGTTTTGGGTTTGTTGTTGGGGAAACGAGGGTTGTGCCCATTGTGTGCGTGGGTCAACCAAGTACCTTGGATGAGACACGTGTATTTCAGGGTTACTAACTGACATGTACCAAGACAAATATTGATCCGTGTGTCGCATATTACCTTGATTAAGGAAAACCGGGAATTGCAAGACATAGAGGTGACGCCTCTGCCACATCTTACACCATTCCGGAGCGAAGTCTTTCCAGTTGGTAAGACCCCACTGGGCGTCGACCCTTTTAAGATGCCATGGGGACAAACAAGTTGGATCACTTGGTATCTCTTGGTGCATTCCGAACTGCATCTTCACACGGTCGCTGTGGTGCATCTCCACAATGTTGAACCGAATGATTGCAGTCTCCGCGGTCCAAGTTGCTGCATCCTCCGGGTTTGGATCATGGCCCAAACCCAAATATGGTCTCCAGACGAACTGCGATAAAATTTAAATCAGGTTAACGCAAAAGTAATGTATAAATAATTTAAATAAAGAAAAGTTAAAAGCTACGACGTACGTCATCCGGGCCTAAGTGATCCAACAGATTGCGGTATAGTGCGACATTGAATCTTGGATTCTTGCCCTAATCCATACCCCTCACACAGTACCTAAAGGAAATGAAAAACATTTTATTTTTAGCATATATTTGGGGAAGAGATGAATAGTAATAAATGTTATAACTTGATGACTTACTTTGTTGCTACGGGAAACCGAAAGTGTTGTTGTTGACGGGGTTTAAGGACTCCATCCTCCACCAACCCCAGGCTTGTAGTAAAAAAGTGCATCCATAAAATGTACATTTTTCCTTGACTGCATTTTTGCACAAGGAACTGTATAGGTGGGCTAAAACTGCAGAACCCCAACTATATTTTCTTGTTTTTTCAAAATTTCTTAGTAAATGTAAATACATAAAATTTACACTATTTCCCGTACTTTCGGGAAATAAAAAGGTACCAAATAGTATTATAAGATAAGTTCTGGCTTTTACTACCCTGTCATTCTCGGAGGAATTTTCATTTAATTCCAAACTTGCATAATGACTTTTCAGCTCAGTGAGTAGTATTCCCTGACCTCTCGCACCACCACCTTCCACCATATCCCTGCCCAACAGTTCTTCACACTAAGAGTTGGGTTGTTGAACTGACCCGTTCACGGCCTTACCGTCGACAGGGAGACCTAGTAGCATGTACACATCCTCTAGCGTGATGATACATTCACCTATTGGTAGGTGAAATGTATGGGTCTCTGGTCTCCACCTTTCCAACATTGCAAGAATGAACCTCGAGTCAATGGTGCAGTTGGAGATCTTTATGACATGTCCAAAACCTGCGTATTCTAGATATGGTACGATAAATGGGTCGGGAGCCAAGTAGTTGTGAGAACGGATTCTGAATCTTTTTGTGTCCTGAGTTCATAATGTAACATGTGTAAGATTAAGTAAGAAGAACAACGCATTATCTTAAGTATGAAAGATGTATAACCAAAATAGAAACTTAAAAATGCGACAATGTTTTCCCTTGTGCCTCTGTGAGTATCGCCCATTGTTAGAAGAGCTATTGTTTAAAATGCTTGAGATTATGAAAGACTTAGGAAGAGATAGAGAGTATGAAAGACTTAGGAAGAGATAGAGAGTATGAAAGACTATGAAAGATTTCGTAGCATAGAGTGAGACTTGTGTGGGTGTGAGAGATGTATGATATGGTATGTATTTATAGGCAAATAAATTTCATATAGTGGTTGCTGGTGCTTGCATGCATGCGAAGTGTCACTCTTGCAGGCTAGGTGGCAGCCTATGGGGTTACATATATGCATGCATGCATGTACAAAAAATGAAAGGTGTCACTCTTGCAGGCTAGGTGGCAGCCTAAGGATGTATCACGATTGGACAGTAAGGGAGGCGCCATTTGACTTGGAGAAAGAGTACAAAAATGAATGGTGTCGCCACCCCAATTGGCGAATAAGAGGTGTCCTTTGTTGCAGGCTAGGCTCAGGCTAGGTGACAGCCTTTGGGATTCCTTGCCTGAATGCATGTAAGCCCATTAGAGGTGATGGGAGAGGACTTACAACATACAGTATAGGTGCAGAGTAGGCGCAGGCTAGGTGGCAGCCTAAGGGGTTACATATTTGCATGAATATATCACGATTAGACAGTAAGGGAGGCGCCATTTGACTTGGCGAAAGAGTACAAAAATGAATGGTGTCACCACCCCAATTGGCGAATAAGAGGTGTCCTTTGTTGCATGCTAGGCTCAGGCTAGGTGACAGCCTTTGGGATTCCTTGCCTGAATGCATGTAAGTCCATTGGAGGTGATGGGAGGGGACTTACAACATACAGTATAGGTGCAGAGTAGGCGCAGGCTAGGTGGCAGCCTAGGGGGTTACATATTTGCATGCATGTATCACGATTGGACAGTAAGGGAGGCGCCATTTGACTTGGCGAAAGAGTACAAAAATGAATGGTGTCGCCACCCCAATTGGCGAATAAGAGGTGTCCTTTGTTGCAGGCTAGGCTCAGGCTAGGTGACAGCCTTTGGGATTCCTTGCATGTAACACTATTGGCAGCCTTGGGGGTTGAATCCTTACTTAATTGAAATTTTTAGTCTTGCGTTTATCATAACATTCATTCACTTAATCTGTCAAATCTTCCAACCTTCAAACGTTCTTACAATCAAACCTTCAAACCTTCAAACAATCAAACACATAAACTTTCGAATCACTCATAAAGTTCAAACATTCCAACCTTCAAACCTTACAGCATTCAAACCTTCATACAATCAATAAACCTCAAACATTCCAACCTTCGAATCACTCATAAAATTCAAACATTCCAACCTTCAAACCTTAAAACAATTCTACGCAATGGCCTATGCACCACAATTTGTCGTCAAAGCACATTTCAACGGTGAGACATACATTTGTCCCACCGCTGGGTTTTTGTTTAGAGACACAGACAACATCTGATTTCTCTTAAACAGGAAAGCCAATTTCTCGTACTTCAAAAAAAGATTGGAGGCCAAACTTGAACGAGGCCCAGTGTCCCAGATATTTTATCAGAATCCAGTTTTCTTTGGAAACAACCAAGTAATTTTTTATAAGGTTTAAGTTCAAGATGACGAGGATCTCCAGAATATGTTTTCCAGCCATGTTTATTCTGGGTACGACTCTATTGTGTTGTACGTTATGTTGCGAGAGCCTCAGGTGACACAAGAGGTTGATCCTTTGGAGAATGAACAAGCTGAGGTAGATGCAGTTGATGATGAAGAAGAAGATAACGAGTTAGAGTTTGATGAAATGGTGAATGATGATTCCGACGATGATGGCATCCCTAGTATTCCTGCAAACAAAATCTACACACCACCTCCGCACATGACAAACTTCAACATGGGCGGAGATGAACCTTCTACTGACTTATTTTTCAATCCGTATATGCAGTCGGATGAAAATTTAAAAGAGAAGGACAAGTTTCGTAACATAGAGGAATGCATCAGGGCCATTAAAAAATTCCACATGCTCAACTCGGTTGAT